AAAGTATAATCAATTGTAAATACACTTGCGCCACAGTATCCGTACTGAATTTTATTTTTGTGACATAGGTAACTCTTAGACTTTTTTTCAGAAGTAGTCAAGGCTTTTTTTATGTGCCTAAGATTGCTATATATAGTATAATGGCTGAAAGTATAGTACAATAGCAAATGTAAATTATCTAAGTTTTTTTTTTTAATTTACGGGTTATTTTAATTTTATTTAAATAACAAAACAAAACATTGCATTAAAAAATAAGCTTTTGTTAGTAATATATGTAAAGATTTCAAACTGCTTCGGAACTAAAATGAACACTACAAGCCTTGTAAGCATTTATTATTTTAAGTGCGTCAAGGATAATATATTCATATTTGGTATAATACTCACAGTGTAGTGTGGTATATGTAATTTTATGCAGTAAGTATGTAACTAAACGTAAGTTAGTCTTATTAAAACGTTAATTCAAGAATTACAAAATCTGTTTTATATGTTTATGTCATGCTGTAATATTTATTTAGCGCTAAGGCACACAATTCCTTTATCAATTTTGCGGCTGTTTCATGCTTAAGCAACGTGACAAATTCGAAACTCACTAATCCTTAATGAATTCTAATTCACAAATACCACGTAATAATTTTTTTAAACTTAACGCTAGTAGATTTTCTGTGTAAGTTAAAATTTAGGGGCAATGTTTAATACACTTTATATAACAATGGTGCTAATTCTGTTGTTCGAAAACTAGTCTCTAAACTAAACTAAAAATCAGTTTAGTCCTGTCAAATAACATTTGGAATTTTGATAACTTAATACTTGACAGGACTAAACAAATTTTTAGTGATTTTTAGTTTAGTTTAGAGACTTTCCGAACAACAGAATTAGCGCCAATAAATAACTAATTTAACTATGAATTCATCTATTTAAAGTCGATTTGTCCATCCAAAGCTTGCCTTTAAGCATTTGTAAGTACATGTACTGTAATTTGATGTACGAGTAGCTATTCTTGTAAAAACACAAAAAAAAGTGTACAATAAAGTTTATTCTATTAAATTTACTAGGCAGGTTTGTATTGTTATAATTTTGTTCATTCATCAACATAAAATATTTAGAGAACCCAAAAAAATAATAATTAGAGTACACTTCGCCACACCGAGCGAAGTGCGCTCGGATATTTTAACGTTATGTATCTCAAAAACAAGGCGGACTAAATCAGCAACTTTTTTCGTCCAATCAAGATGTCATCAACTAATATACTTCAAATAAAACCCAATGTCTATTATGTAAATCGCTAAACAGTTACGCCCTTGACCGACAAACCTTTCTAAATACCTCTCGCAGTACTAGTTTACGGTCAATGAACGGAACAAATTACCTTCCAAAACACAAATAGACCTGTCTATTAATAAATTACGCAGCTCTGGTGAAATATTATTCACACACCACCTTGGAAATGTGTATAATTGCAACTAAATTGACAAACGAACCCACTTGATGGTGTTCGATTCCTGTTTGCTGCAAAACATTTCGGACGACATGGTGCCGCTTGTGCTTTTTTAAGAAATAGCGAGCGAGGGTCCCCCTTCTAGGGTTCAGGGGGAGGGAGGGTGTTTGGCTCTGGTAACCTCACGAACGAAAGAATTGCTTAAAGAATTGTTTTTTTAGGCCATGGTATCACTCCGGTGCAGTCAGTCCCGTTTCCCTATCCAACACCAGCCAGATAATGCTTACCCTGGGTAACTTACAGGGGAGGGCCCATTCCGTTCTTCTTATCCAAATTTACATCCTAATTTTTTTTATTGTTCAATATACACAGTTACATACAACGGCGAGAAGCAAGAATTAGGTACATTCATTTTTTCACATAATCATTTAGTATAAAAATATTTGTAGTATTTATAATCTGGAACCTTGATATGGTCTTCTTCCTAGAGGTTAGCGGTATTAGCCACCACACAGTTTAGATGCGGGAAGCCGAAAATGAATCGAAGTGACGTGCAATGGGAGAGGCCTATGTCCAGCAGTGGACTGCGATAGGCTGATGATGATAATGACATACAATAGCTATACTATCTTATACTACGAAGATCACGCAGGGTCTGTCTGAGTGTAAGTGAGCCGTTGTTATTTTTAATGACTATGAGTAAATATACATACATTATGAAAGTGGTATACCAACATACCATACCAACCTGACCAGCCGTACGACAAAAGTCTTGGGAGTCTTAATCCCGTCTAAAACGATTAAATCCCGGAGTATAGGGTTGGCGTTAGCTGGGCGGCCGGTCATAAAGAAACCAGACAAACCTTTTGACAAAATATGGCTGATTTGACTGCACGGATGGCGTAGTGGTTTAAGCGGTCACTTCGCCCCTTCCTACTGCGCTGAGTTTTGTGGGTTCGGACCCCACATGGGACATCACTGTGTGTGATACACAACTTTTTGTTCTGAGTCTGGGTGTTTTTTGTATCCGTTTCATGTACGTATGTAAAGACTCCCGCGACACAGGATATATTCCTAATGCGGGTGTTTTCTTTAAAAAAGTCACATAATCCATTAAAATCAAAGAAAATTAGAAAAATAGCACGAAATTGATGACGATTACGTATAAACAATACAGTAAATAACATGCAAAAACAATATACGTAGGTAGATATAAGAATTTTTAAATTATATACACATTTAGACATAATCATTTGGTAAAAAAATATGTAATTTACAATCTGCAACATTGATATCGTCGTTATTAGCCACGACACAGTTTCTAACTAATTAATACGGTTACTTTCGAACATGCTTAAATTGTAAACGGTTTCCTTGTTCGATCTACATTCTAAATAAAGATCATTACATAATACAGTTTTTTTAGACTGTGATAATACTACTAAGTAATAATTCTGTCTGTCATAAAATATTTTTTTTATTAATTTATTAACTGCATTGGTGCAGTAGGTAGCGTATGTGACTGCTGCGTATGCTCTGTGCTGAGGTCTCGGGTTCGATTCTCGGGTTGGGCCAAATGTGTGATCTGCAAATATTTGCTTCAGAGTTTGGGTGTTTTCTATGTATAATATTTAAATGTTTACAAAAAAAAGTGTACAATTATTCTATCAGTCAATCTAGCCTTCATAGTACAAGCCTTGCTTAGTTTGAAACTAGATGGCGTTGTGTGTTAGATGTCCGAAATATTTATTATTATTTTTATTTAAAATTTTGCTCAGCTCAAGGCTGGTTTTAACTTTATGGCCAAAACCAAGTAAATACAGTGAGGTGTGTTTTGGTTATGTAGATGTAGATGGTGGTTGCTGTATGTGTTGTGCTGTTCCGTTTTCTTCTATATCATTAAAACTCCTGACTGTTCGGCATGTGTTTAATATTGCTGCTTTCTGTAGTTTTATATACACGGATTCATTTAAATTTATTAATTTAAGGTTTTGGTGAAGGTGTTTAGGCATAACTCCTGTTGTAGATAGAACTATGGACACTATGTAAACTTTCTACTGTCTCCAGATTCGTATTATTTCTACTTTGAGTTCTGTGTATTTGCTTATTTTTTTCTGTTGTGTGTATTCGGAACTGCAATATCAATCATGTAGGTGGTTTTATTAATTTTGTCTTGTAGGGTTATGTCTGGTCTGTTAAAGTGGACGGTTATTATTATTATAATTGTGCATAGTAAGATGCAGAGTCAATAAACATCTCTCTGCCTCCGAGCCATTTTCCCAAACTAGATTGGGGTCGATTTTAAGTCTACTACGATACGGCTGAACTTGAACTTTTTGCACAGAGCGACTGCCATCAGACCGCCGCAACCCAAGTAATAGGCTATATGGAAATTCTGTAAAATAAAAATTCATGCAAATAATTTTTATTTTACAGAATTTCCATTCGGGTCGCTGCCTTAACGTGCTTTCCGAGGCACGGAGAGGTTTCAATTTGTTAAGAATGGTGACCCAGCCATGGACGGACCTGGCTAGGATTACTTAACTTTGCTATACCTTCTCTAGCCACGAGACCCTCAATGTCAATGGACATACATATGTATTTATCTACATTTACAACCGCAAAGCCACCTATAATATTCTTAGGCACAGTAAGTAGGTATTGAATTTTATACCACGTACCTGCAAGTTGCGAAATTAAATTTGCAATTACGTTTGTAATTCATATTACAGTACTGAGGTCACGCTCACGGCTGCTTGATTGTCTTATTTTACTTTATAATATTACTGGGATATCAAACAAGTAAAGGGTGCACAGTCACGGGTATCAATAAAAGATCGAATCATGAAAAGAACTATCCTGTGTCCAAGGACTTTAAACCAAATCCTACAGGATATTTTAACAAATATTTTTTGTCTAGGTGTACAACATTTATAATATGGTAAGGTTATTTGTAGTTGTTATTGTATGGAGGAACGGGTGTCATATCCAACACAGAGAGGATTCTCCGACCAGGCGAGGTGATCATGCCTGGCGGGCCGGGGCTCGACAGTTGATGTTGGGAAGTTTTATATCTTCTATACATCTATACAAATAAATAAAATAGGAGTGTCTGTTTGTAATATTAAAATAACCGCTTTTTACTAAATGCAAATGTATGTTTACACGGTACATATGCCAAAATAACATTTTTTACAATTTTTGTCTGTCTGTCTGTCTGTCTGTTTGTTCCGGGTAATCTCTGGAACGGCTGGACCGATTTCGACGGGACTTTCACTGGCAGATAGCTGATGACATAAGGAGTAACTTAGGCTACTTTTTTAGAGTAGCTTCGCCCCGCGGCGTTGCCATCGGTTATAACAACAAACGCGGGTAACACCGCGGGTCTTAGCTAGTAAATATATATATATATACTAATCGGCGAGAGAATTCTTCATATCGCGATACAAGATCAGCGATTTTCGCTGTAGTATGTTGCTGTTTCTTTGTATGTGGGAGTCGCACAACATTATGAATGAGATGAAGATTATTATCTTATCTTATCTTATTAGCTTATGTTTTTCAGAAAGAATATTCTCATCATGCAAGAAGTCATCCCCGGATTTTGATGGATGTATAAAGAGGGCGTTTAATAAGCTTCGGAGCTATTTCAAAGTGGGTGAGTAAAGCGGCTAATAAAATTCTGCCTAAATAATCATTACGTTGTTTTCTTAAAGGTTTTTTTTTTCTATCTAATATATCAAAAATATAAATATTGGCGATTATACCAAAATTGAAAGGCGTAATAAAGATGTATGTCGTGCAGAACTATGAAGTTAACTCAATCGTCAGATTTTGACTAAATTTGTAAGAGAAGCACCTACTTTTTAACCAAAAAAAAATCAAGCAAGCCGATAATGGGGAAAGGTACTATGTCTGAACATGTTTTAGAGTACTTTTTATTTTTTTTAACTTTATGCGCTTTTAATTGGCGGACTTAATGTCCAGGGCATTCTCTTCCAGTCAACCTCTGGGTGGTGTAGAAATCTTATAAGGTGCACAGAAGTTACATGTTAGGTGTATGTTATTGAGCATAGACAAATCCGTAAATGAATTGTAATTGTCTATTGACCCAGGTATACCAGAGATGGGAGTTGCGCCTTTCGACCCACATTACGCAAAGGAGGTTCGACAATCGCGCGCCATTAACGGTGTCGGTTACACACTGAAACTGAACGACGTGTTTGAACGAGGCTGGTCGCAGTCTACCGTCACCAAATACAAGTGAGGTTCCCTTCTCATAATATTAATTATACATATTATAATAATACATAATATTATAGTCAAATTCAAACTTTTTGAAGGAAAGTCGGTACTATAGGATTACCTACAAAGTTTACATTTGGTCTGGAAGAGCTCCATCGTTGAGAAACTTGAACAATAAACTTGAAAGGTTTGATACACAATTAGGATCTCATTAGCGAAATACCGCGAACCAAAAGGCAGAAAGTAGGTATTGGGAGAACCAAAAATTGTTTGTATCCATAAAGCATTTTGTTCCAGGGATTAGGTACCTACTCTAATTGTATGTAGGTAAGGTAGTACACAGATTACCCCCTAATAGATTCCGCAATCCGCATTATTGAATATTTGCTACGATTCGAGTTCACCAAATTTGGCGGTATGCAAGTGTTGCGGGGGACGTGTCACATGCTCTATGAATGGATATTTTAAGGTCAACTTAGACTGCACCGAAACTTAGTGATAGACAAGGTTGGGCCATTGATCAATAAAATAGTTTGATGATCTGAATTCTAAATTATTGATATTTATTTTATTTTTGATTTATTTATAAATAATTATATTGATCAATGTTTATTTAATATGTTTTAAAAAATAAAACAATATATAATACGGTCTACTTGGAAAATGTTTAAAATCATTACTGTTCAAGCGCCTATCAAAATACTACTGGCAGCGCATAAAAGGAGCGAGTGTTGTTGGATCTTGATAGGCTTCTTATATATTTGTAAAAACTGTATTTCATTTTTATTACACGTACACTTCTGTCATAAGAAACAAGTCCAGTTGTTTAATTTTCGTAATTATCCCAAATCTTCCCCAAAACATGGTCCTTCGAGCCGGATGCTGGATAAATCGTTATTATTAAAAATGAAAAGGAAGATTATTAAAATACTTGGGAGAAATTGAAAATAACAAATCGTCTGGTGCAACCTTTGAAAAGGTTATTTAGCCGGCGGTGTGGATTGTTCGTATACAAGAAGATTATTGTGGTGTTAAAGTTTATTTCGTAATAATATCGTTACCAAACACTCGAACAGGTAGTATTTACATTTAATAAAAGATTTACAAGGTCAGTAAATAATCTATTGTAAATTACCTATGTTATGTACTTCATTCATCACATCACACATCACATCAACAGCCTATACTAGTCCACTGCTGGACATAGGCCTCTCCTTAGAAAGGAGGTTTTTGGCCTACTATACCACGCTGGCCAGACGGGTTGGTATAGGGTTTGTTTCAAGTTTTCCTTCTCTTTGCAGTGCTGTTGTCCTGCTTAGTTTGCTCCCTTAGTCGGCTCTTACGACACCCACGGGATGAATTGGGGTGGTGACAATTTGTATTCTTAATCCGTCACCACACATCCTTCATTCATCAGTCATTATTAAATCACATGCCGATTTTTACAACTTTTTATTATTAGTTAACTGTAATAGTTTATAGCTATTCACAATTAAATAGAATTATATTGTAACAACTATAAGTTATACGGTATAAGTAAGCATACATGCTACATGATTTTATTTAATTGATGTTACAGTCTAATAGTTCATGAGCCGGTAGGTGTCCTTGCACAGTACAATTATTACGAGTAGATATTATTTAATTATTAGATATTATTTATTATATAGTTATTAGTTAACATCACAAATAAGTTGATTCTTTGTCTCATATGTAATCACATCCTGTTTATCCACCTGAATATAGTTTTTCAAACATTTGTTAGTTTTCAAGGGCCGCCTGACTGCGTTTATAAATTACCTTGACCAGCTGAGTGACAAAATAACAAGCCGTGTTGATGTCACGGAACTGCAGTTGCGTATTGGAAAGATAGAATCATTATACGAGCAATATGACGAGGTACAGTTGCGTTTAGAGTGTGTCACGGACGATGTGAAAGTACAGTTCACTGAACGCTCAGAATTTGAGTCGTTATAATAGGTCTTTACCTATGAAATTGCCTTTTTGTATGCAATAAGTGAAAGTACTTATTTTTTCAAACTTTTTTATTTCTGTTATTCGAAGTAATCACCCATGCAATCGACGCATCTTTGCCAACGCAAGGTCTGGTGAGTACCAAGCAACCAGCTTTGGTCAATCGGTCGTCCCCACTGCTCCTTCATCCGCCATACTCACCAGACCTTGCACCTACCTGCACCTACCGACTATTACTTTTTCCAAAATTTATACAACTTTTTAGTGGGTAAAAAATTCAATTCCCGAGGGTCAGTACAAAATGCCTTTGAAGAGTTTGTTGCCTCCCCTCCAGCTGATTTTTACAAAAAGGGCAACAATAAACTGCCAATGCGTTGGCAAAGATGCGTCGATTGCATGGGTGATTACTTCGAATAACAGAAATAAATATATATTTTCAGCAAGCAACTATTCTGTGGTGTTGAAGACATTTTGTGACCGCTTCGATAATAAGGTATTGTTGGTGCAAAATCATGTGTCAGGTTTTTTTTACTATAGATCCTATCGTCAAAGAATCATCAGCTAATTTAAAGGGCTTAATAGACCAGATAAATAAAAACTTACGTGCGCTTGAGTCATTGGGTGAGCCAGTTCAACATTGGGACACGCTGTTAATTTATATAATCACCCATAAGTTGGATCATAAAACATTTAGGGAGTGGGAGGAGCACAAAAGTAGGTTAGAAAAGGACAACGTAAAAACGTTGGCTACTTTCGTGCGATTTTTGCGCTCCCGTGCTGATTTAATCGAAACATTAGAACTGTCGCGTACTCAGTCTCAGACAGTCAGTAGCTTGCGTCCTAGGATTAAATCTATGGTGACGATCCAATCTTCCCAACCTTCTGCAATGCAACTAAACAATAAAGCATGCTGTATGTGTTAAGGGGACCCCATCTAACCTAATTGACCACAATTTCTTGCAATGAGTAATGACGAACGTCTTAAGGTATTGCCAACTTACAAGGTTTGTTTTAATTGCTTTAAGTCGGGTCATTTTGCAAACCATTGCAAGAAGCCAGGTTGCAAACTTTGTAAGCGTAAACATAACACACTAATACACATATCGGATTCTAAAGGTGTTGCGATCAGCTGTAAACAAAGCACACATAGTAATTCTAACTGTGTGTCTTCTCCGTTAACGTCTGCCACCCCCGATACTGATAATGTAGCATTATCAGCAAGCGTCGCTTCTTACTGCGGCGAACGTAAACATCACGACGGCGACGTGTTGTTATCAACCGCTTTGATTAAACTATATGACTATAACAATCAAGTGCACATAGTTCATGCAGTACTCGACAGCGGTAGCACATCTAGTTTTATTACAGAAAGGCTTTGTAAAACATTAAAATTAGTTACAAATAAGGTAGGTAGATCAATTCTTGGCATTAATAACGCATTAATACAGTCCAATCATGAATTAACTAAGTTATTATTTTATTATGAGCATGAGAGATTAATGCACGCGGGTCCTCAATTGTTGTTAGCCTTGATAAGGGAGGCCTATTGGCCTATTGGTGGTCGTAATTTAGCCAAAAGCAGCTTTCATCGATGCATACGATGCCGTAGAATGAAGGGAAATGTAGTTACCCCTTTGATGGGCAATTTACCACGAGAGCGGCTCCTTCCCAGGTGCCCGTTTGAAAGTACAGGCGTAGATTATGCCGGCCCTATCATGTGTGCTAGTCGCCAAGGTCGGGGATGCAGGCTAGTAAAGGTATATATCGCGATTTTTATTTGTTTGACCACCAAGGCAGTACACTTAGAGCTAGTAAGTGACTTAACTAGCAATAATTATTTATTGGCATTGTACATCGGTCATTAATGGGCTTTTCGGTATCGGTATCGGTATATTAATGGGCTTTCCTCTTCTCGCAATAAATCGTTATTGTGAGAAGAGGAAAGCCCATTATTATATATTCTGACAACAGTACCTCGTTTGTAGGTGCCTATAACGATCTCTCAAAATTTTTAAATTCTAACGCAGTTTCTTTAGGTGAAAGTGTGGCCAATGATGGAATTAGGTTCCATTTTATACCCGCATATAGTCCTCATTTTGGCGGACTCTGGGAGGCGGGTGTCAAGTCAACAAAATATCACTTAATGCGAGTGTTGGGAAATTGTAACGTCACGATCGAGGAACTTTACAATACATTGACACAAATAGAGGCGATTTTAAATTCCCGTCCGCTAACACCGTTGTCGTCTGACCCTAATGATGACACACCTTTAACACCAGGACATTTCCTCATTGGTCGACCACTCACTTCGTTGCCACAACCTAACCTACAGGATCATTCTACAAATCAGTTGTCTCGCTACCATAAAATTGATCAACTTCGCCAACACTTCTGGGCTAGATGAAGCAGAGAATATGTTACTGAACTCCAACAGAGGACCAAGTCGCCCTCCTGTAAGGACAGTTTAAGGTTAAATTCTTTGGTTGTAGTAAAGGAGGACAGTCTTCCTCCCTTGAAGTGGAAGCTAGGAAGAATTGTTGCAGTCCACCCTGGATCAGACGGAATTGTTCGAGTTGCTGACATCTGGACGTCCACTGGAATCATATGGAGGGCCTTCAATAGGATCTGCCCGTTGCCAGTTTCTTCAGATGATGTAGTTGGTTGAAAGCATAGCCTTCAACGCTCGGGGGCATGTTCAAGCGCCTATCAAAATACTACTGGCAGCGCATAAAAGGAGCGAGTGTTGTTGGATCTTGATAGGCTTTTTATATTTGTAAAAACTGTATTTCATTTTTATTACACGTACACTTCTGTCATTAGAAACGAGTCCAGTTGTTTAATTTTCGTAATTATCCCAAATCTTCCCCAAAACAATTACTCACACGATTCCATTAAAAAATCCCCTGTTGAACTTAGACAGAGACAATTTGACATCTGTAAACCGTGTTAATGAGTACTTCTCCCGCATCGGTAACTACTTAGCATACAAATTAGACTCTAAATTGCAGTAGGCCTACACATTGATGGATTGTCGAATAGACTAAGCTCTGCAGCATACGCGGTTTATAAAATTCGTCAATAAACCGATGTAGAAACAGCTAGACTAGTGTATTTTAGCTATTTTCATAGTGTAATGTCATACAGTATTATGCTGTGGGGAAATGCTGCTGACATTCAGAGTATTCGCGCAATTTAAAATCTCAGTCATAGGCAGTCACTGAAGGATAAGTTTAAAGAAATTGGTATCATGACAGTCGCATCTTAATATATATATATATATATATATATATATATATATATATGTATATATGAAAATTTAGTGTATGGAAAGAAAAATATTTATTTATTCACAAAGTTTAGCGACATTAATAATATAACCACTTGAAATAAAGATAAACTCGTGTTGCCAACGACTAGACTACAAAAAGTAAGCAAGTCTTTTCGATGTCAGGGTGTGCGATTCTCCAATAAAATGCCAAGCAAATTTCATGAATTAAATATTAACAAATTTAAGTCCTTAGTTAAACAAAAATTATGTGAAAATGCTTACTACACGTTTATAGATTATTTAAATAACAAATTTGCTTGGGATTGATGCTGCTCACTCTCACATTTGAAAGTGATGGACATTTAATTTTTTGTTGTAATTCGAATTTCGTTTGTTTTCAATTTGTTTATTTGAAATTGAATTAATATTAAATATATTTTTTTTGTCTAAGTATGTATCTGTGAGTATAGTGTAGGCTTGTAATGTTAGTTCATATTTTAGTAACTTTCTGGTGGTTTTGAGTGTTTCCACGGTCCACTCAAGTGTCCTGCAGGCGGTAGTCGTGTTGCGGGTAGCTGATGCTGGGGCTCGTATGCCGTCTGTATGGACGGCCCAACTCAATACTATGGTTCTTTCTTCAAAAGGCCAACCTAGACCCTATACTGCACTCACATAGATCTCTTTAACATTGTACACGGTCTTAAAAAAACAGACACCTCTGTGGTTTGTTTCGGCGTTTCATCTCAGAGCGAGTCTTAGGAAATGCCGGTGCCTTCTAGCTGTAAAGTCCTTGTAAAAATATCTGAAAAGATTTACTTGCAGAAATACATATCATTACATATTTGGTACATAGAATCGAATATCATTAGTCGATTAGGTGTTTTGTGCAGTCTTTTGTAGGAACAAAACTCTCCACCCTTATGGTGCAGACTTAAAATTGACTTTTTTCTCGTTTACCAAGTATTCAAAAGAAATCCTTGAACAACACGAAAAATATATTTTTTAATTACAGAACGGATTGGGAAAACCAACGGATTATATATTCGCAGTACTTTCCAGAAAAATGGCTGAATGGTGACTACGAATTCAAGGTAATTTTTAATGTCTGGTCTTAAGTTACCCTACTAGAAACTAACTAGATTCCCCTGCAGTGCTGTATGCAGCCAGCAGCTTGTGCTGTATGATTCTAATGATTTAAAATATTTCTTAATAATTGTATCGTAGTTGTTTACAAGCTTCACAGCTGCTCTTTAGAAATAACTGATCTTGACTAAAATTTGTAATAGTTTTATAAAATAAAAAATTAAGAATGACCTGATCCTCCGGCGCGAAATCCATGCGCATCCCCTCCCCTTGCCGCATACTAGGAAAAAATCGCTCATCTTTATGTTTTTACGGCTGTCATATGGGAGTTTAATTTTTTTTTCAGAGATTGTAAGGCAACTCTTAATGAAAACATGAAATTTTTATTTTCGTAGGATACGGTTTTTCCTAAGCACCTATTTTTACATTTTCGCAAATTGTGCGGAAACTTGATTAACGCGATTTTTTTTAGATAAAAGCTATTCTCGTAATTTTTAACGAATTTGATTTCAGCAACTCCCTTTTTCTTCATTATTTCCCACCCTACAATATTCTATTTTTTACAATTAAAATTGTATTTTTTTCAATAAAGCGGTTTTTCGCACCTGTTCGATTTTTTTACAATAACTTGCCACGAACTTATCTTTTCCAATGATTTTTTACCCGAGTTATCACGTTGAAAAAACAGCCAAAATTTTTTTCGATCTGTACTTTCTCAGCCTGTAGGTACTATTAATATGCTTTATAAATACACCTAAGTAACACATAACATTTTTTGTCATGGTTTTGAGTCATGTTACCAGTATCGTTGCAACATAATCCACTGACAAAAAATCGTCTACTATTTACATCTTGGCATTTGCCTACTTACTAGTAGTTTTCTCTGTTGACGCCATACAGATATATCTCTATGGTGGACACCAACGTTTTTACACAAGATATAAAGGTACCTACTGCTCATAAGATATATTTATAATATATCAATAATCTATATTAAAAAAGAACACTATGCTGCAAAAAACTAAATTTAAAAATCAATTGAATGTGAAATTTTAGCCTAAAATTTAATATCTTACTATCCTAAAGTAAATAACTGACAAACGAATCATAGTTAACCCCAAATGTATATGACCAGCCCTGTTATTAGGTTAATTAAATTTACAACGATTCCAAGCCAAAACGAGATGTACTTGAAAAAGTTGGCTTTTGGCACGTACATCATGCTAGCTAACCACGGGTTTTTGCAAATATTGCATCAATCTGCAAATTATGTTTATTTTTCCAGGGAGACGCTTTTGGTCTGGGCGTGCTCCGCTCCGGCCGATGGAATTTGACGCTCCGGGACTACTCACAAACGACACGCATCAAGCGCAACGGGACCGGCGTCGATGTTAGTGTTGAAGTCGACCACATTGGAGACATGGAGATACATGTCGGCAACCTGCTTCGAGGGAATGGAATACTCGGTACTTAAAGCAAACTAATCAACCCTATAAACACACGTCTCGTAACAAATGTTAGCGAAGTTACCGTATTTTAAACTGACCTGAACAAAACAGTAAGGGTTTGTTTTGAACTTTTTTAATACCTAAGCGGGACTTCGTGTAAAACAGGCGCAGCTCTTGACCTTTTTCGTGTGGAATTCCCCCGGGTACCCCACCGATCGCTGGGTTGGTATGTCGGACTCGAACAGATTAAGACCACACGCCGTCTCGGGTACCAGTAGCCGTGTGCGGTTTTTCTAGTGTGCGTTACCCCAGCAAAATAATGTCGAAAATGGTCATTTAAACTTTATAGATAATTAGTTGCTCCCCTTCTGTAATTGTTAAGCACATTTTTAAATTTGTTTCACTTAAACTTTTTTAGTTATTTCAAAAAAACATTTCCTGCTGGGGTAACGTTTGAAACGTTACCGCAGCCAGACATTTTCTTTTTTAATTGTAATATTGAAATAAATTTTAGCTAAATAATTAGTTATCTGGACTAGGTAAATGTTACAACTTATTTGGTATTTGTATTTTCTTCGGGTGCGAAGTTATTCGAAATCCTGCTGGAGTAACGTTTGTGGGTTTGCTGGATCTCTGAAACGGGTAAGCGGATTGTAACCATCTTTTGTACATAACTTCTTAAGGATTAGTTTTAATTTGTTCGACAATAAAATAACAATAATAATGGACCGTTTAAAAAATATTTAGGTAAGTATGAAAACACTTCAATACGTCCTAACACTTTAAATAAGACCTCTAAAGACTTACTTGAAACGTAACGAATATTTTATTTTCTCCAACATTATTACAGAAATAATGCAATACAGAGTTTGTTCGCGATATGCTAGCTTAAGTCGATACATCACTTAAAAAAATCCCCATCTATTCACAAAATACCTATTTACAACGCATACGTTACACTCTTCAAAACTTATCATTTCATTTCATTTCATATTTCTTAAATTACCTATACCTACCCTAAAATTAAACTTCAATTAACAAATACTACGCAGGTACCAATTCTATGAACAACTATAAACAATTCACCTAAACATTACGAGAAAACAAAAGCATTCAAAACAATACCTAATCTCCCGGCTGATTACTAATTATGCAATAAACAATCCTAAATAAAAAATATTTAAAAAACATGTAGTTTTTTGTAACACTTATGTACATATCCGTAGTAAACTTGCAAATAATATCCTACATATTTTAAAAGACAGCGCAATGTACTGGGTGATCGCTTTTTTGTAACCACCTAAACATGGTCGGATTACCACGGTCTTGCACCTTCTAATGACTTTTATTTAATTATCTCGTAAATTATTATATGTACTACGCTGAAATTTTACAGGTAGACAACTGAACTAAACAACTAATTATTGGCATAACATTCAGTTTATATATCCACACACAGGTTTATCGGTGGCCAAAAAAGGCCGCACACATTGTGATCGTGAACGTGGAGAGCTACATTTCATCATAACTTTTTAGTCACTTACAGTATTCTTACGAAAATTCGTATACATTTGAAGGTAGTTACAAGCAATAGAATAACGTTTCAAGTAAGTCTTTAGAGGTCTTATTTAAAGTGTTAGGACGTATTGAAGTGTTTTCATACTTACCTAAATATTTTTTAAACGGTCCATTATTATTGTTATTTTATTGTCGAACAAATTAAAACTAATCCTTAAGAAGTTTTGTACAAAAGATGGTTACAATCCGCTTACCCGTTTCAGAGATCCAGCAAACCCACAAACGTTACTCCAGCAGGATTTCGAATAACTTCGCACCCGAAGAAAATACAAATACCAAATAAGTTGTAACATTTACCTAGTCCATATAACTAATTATTTAGCTAAAATTTATTTCAATATTACAATTAAAAAAGAAAATGTCTGGCTGCGGTAACGTTTCAAACGTTACCCCAGCAGGAAATGTTTTTTTGAAATAACTAAAAAAGTTTAAGTGAAACAAATTTAAAAATGTGCTTAACAATTACAGAAGGGGAGCAACTAATTATCTATAAAGTTTAAATGACCATTTTCGACATTATTTTGCTGGGGTAACGCACACGTTTTTCTAATTCTTTAAAGAAATAATCAACTATAATTTTGACAAATTTAATCTTCAATTGACAAAAAGAATTAGGTCTCTAACATAAGTAATTGCAGAGATCTTCGTGGCCGCGCAATCCTCTCCGTTTCGTTCGAGCCCGTTCGTTAAAACCCTTATAACTTCTTCTTCTACTTTGAGAAATTTTTGTTTTGTTCCCTTCGATTTTGACAAATTTCAACAAACTTATGGCGAAGTATTTTTCTGTTGCATATCGCGGCGGAGCAATCGAAACTTACACTCAGCCGTTATGTACCTTTTAAGCATAAAAGACGATTCTCCTTAGTGAAAATATTAGCCACACTTCGACGCGGGAGGTTTATATACAGGGTTACTGGGTAGGTCGACCTAATTACTTGAAGGGGTTGTATTTGCCATCATTTCTGATAGATGGCACTCCGGAATACGATATCCCGCAAAACTCGACGAAATTTTGCCTAATACTTTTTTTTTAACTTACATCCTTGGTTTTTTGCTTTTTTTACTGTTTTTGTGATGTAACTAAATTGTTTTATAATTTAAATTACTAAAATTGTAACTTACTTAACAAACTGGGCCGAAGTACATGGTTAATAATAGGCAAATAAATAAAATTGAAAAAATTGGGTAGTATATTAACCGCTATACACCCGGTAGTACGCCGGGTTGTATACTAATTCTTAACACCCCCGATCTTTCATCTAAGTTTTTTTAAGATTTTTGTTAAAAAATCTTAAAAATCCAATATCTTAAAATTGGTTATTTTGGGATATGGTATTTCATAGCGAAATCTATCAGAAATCATGGCAACTAAAACCCTTAAAGTATTTAGGTCGACTTACCCGGTAACCCTGTATAACCGTTGGAATATCCGTGCAATCAAATATGATTATTTTCGCAACATTTTTTATAAATACTGTCTGACCAATGTCTAATATTGGAATAAAGGATTTAAACAACTTATAGAAATCTCGTTTTCAGAAAGCATGCTGGATCGCTTGATAAACGTGACGTGGAAGCCAGGTTTTGCTGTGATCCGGCCACTGATCAATGACCTCGTCAGCACAGCGTTCACCGATATCTGGAGCAAATCTTTTTACAACTTCCCATTAGATAACTTCATCCAAGACTAATCAATCTATTGTTATGTAACTTTATATGTAGTGCCAGTTTGTAAATAAGTATTTTTTTTTAAAAATAACCGTCTTTCTAATATTTAAAGCTACTTCAAAGTCCATTGAATTGCTATAAATTAAAATTACCATAGCATTGTAATAACGCTTGTTTGCACTTGTAATTTCAAGTAGAAGTGATTTATTAAACTAGTCAATCATGTTTAAGTTTGATCTTGATTTTATAGCTACGGGTCGCAGGTGCTGTACAAAGGTCTGCGACAATCTCAATTCTCGCAAAAGCCTTATATACAGCTTCAAAAATAAACACAAAGATTATATTACATATCTCAATATTATATTTATTAAAAAATATAACCTAACTATATATATGACTTTATATTTAAATTCAATCAACAAATAACTCGCACGGTCGTCGAACCTGGAATAATCAACCTCAGTCTTTCAACACAAATGAATACAAATCAAACAGGCTTCACACCAACAACAAATGGCGCTAACAAGCGTATCGTTACATCTCCGAGCGTTTGGCTCCCTCGAGTTCGCCCGATCGCTCCCAAGCAATCTCGAACTCCCCATCCACTCTAGAGTTCCCCGAACTTATTCGACTACACCGCCACATACCTGCGCAAGCGGCACTTTCACACTTATAAATACATATTTATAACATTGCACCTTCAATTTGTTATATTAAAAAATCAGATAAAAGTATAACACAAAAGTACTACAAGATGTCGTTAAATCTCGATATACGATTCACAACTATACTTACGATCTGTATTGATAAACAAAACTTAGCTTGTCTTGCTACAACCTGTTTATTGACAATGTTTACATTAGGCTACGCAGAATTACACAACAAAAATAAGTACATTGAATACAAACAGAAACTAACTCCGCAAGAATAAATACTGTCCGTGATATTATGTCAATCCCGCATCAGACATTGTGAAATGATAACCAACGGCTACATTATCAACACATGCACATTGTGAAGCTTCAATTAATTATAATATTGTCTGTATTGAAATACTACATTAGGACCCTGTGGACCGTCAACTGACGCAGTTTTGTACGGATTCAAATCGTTGTAACGGTTATAAAAGTGACGATACTTCGGCGGTTATTATTAAGTCACAAGAGTGCTTACTGGGTAAGCAATTATGGTAGCAAAATTATAAACTTAATTGAAAATTCAAACACTAAAACAATATTGAAATAATTCATTGATAATAAAATGTTTTATAGGTGCCGGATCTTTGCCAAAAGTCGATGACAAATAAACTAACTATCGTACAAAGAATTCGGCAGAGAAATTATTTGAATATAAATTGAATGTACCAAAAGCTATCGGTAAGCGTAACGTGAGGTTATCTTGGTCATTCACCACAGATTTTATTAGAACTGAACACTACGTAGAGTGTCTGATTAGGTCAAGCTAGTTCCCATCATACGTATCGTAACGTACACAAAATTACCAAATGAAATGTGTAAGCCTACACTGTACGTAGCACTCAGAACAATGCACTTATCTGTCAATAATATTATATGTGTAGCCTGTGTATCATTTTCACAGGCGATATCAAAATGATTTACTATACCTAAAGGGTATCCAATAATTAACATTTAACTGAAATATGATCTGACCACACTGGAAAAACATTGATCGTTGTCAACAATGGAAGTAGCGTAAAAACCCTAACTAAATTACGAGAACTGTTTTGTTTATAATTTGTACTTCTTTTTCTCGTACATTTGGCCCCAGAATTTGTGTAGTAAACAATTTTCTCCAAAAAATTAAAACATTTACCTCCAGCTAGAAGCGTTTGCGCCGAATAAAAAAACGTTTAAAGCGACTACCAACCTACATAATAAATGTTGAGGGAGGAACACGGCTCAACAATAATTGGTTTTCAGGTCACCGATAGCAACATAGACTCAGTAATATTTAGTACAACCGATTATATCGAGTGAGGATGTTCTAGTATACCTATTGTTTAACTGGGTAGTCTTGCAATACTACTGATTTCACAACGATGTTTAAGCAGAAAACATGGGGTAACTTATGTATTCACAAAATTCACATTTTCCTAATTAGGTGCTTGAGCGCCGCTAAAGCAAATTCTGTCGTGTTTAGCTTAAAAGAAATAATTTAAACAGAGTTTGCTTTGTACGGGGACAAAAATTAGAACGAACAAAATATAATTCTATAAAACCCAAATAAAATCGTATCAAACTCAAATAAAACTTAATCGCAACGAAGTTGAAACGAAAAATTATAAAAATTCATTGGTAGCAAGATTTCATTTCATTTAAAATGTTTTAGCGCAACAGTTTATTTTACAACATTAACGTGTGCTGAAATAAAATGATCTCTCGAAACTTATATGATCCTATATATGACGCAAATAATTTTATAAATAAACATATCAGTTATGTAATACTATTATAGGATGTCTGGCGGGACATAATGTCTTGTTTATATATTTCTCACATCATCGCCTCGTTTTGATTTTTAACGGACATCTTAACTTCAAATAATTTATCAATAGGTTAGTTGTATAAATTACAAAGGTTTTTATTCTTTTAACTCGCATGTCGATCACTTCGTATTTACATAAGCGAGTGATTTAAAAAATGAATTCTTTGAGCTTTTTTAATAAAAAATATACCGCCGTAGATAAAAACATAAGAGAACCGAATCGCGTAAAGCATTCGAATCACTCCCTCTCCTACCGTCGCGAGCGAGCTCTGCCCGCACGCTGTCCGACATGCCGCGCCTCTCACACAACCGCTCACACACATTTCCAAATTAACTCTAACATTAAAATTATGTTGATATGCTCTTATCAATAAGTTTTTACAATGACATTTGTGCTGTACACTACTCAAAAAGAGCGGGGCGGAGGCAACCCACGCTTCCGGGGCCGCGCTCGCGTCACGGCGGAGACGCGAGCGTGGTGTCGCACTTTGTACTTCAACGTTCAAAACTACGTTTATCGAAAGCGTAACGTTCGCGCTCCCGCCCCGCCGACCGCTATTTACAACAACTGCGAAACGACAGAATCGGGTAATAACTAAATATTTGGCAAATCGAGTCATCGACAACGGAACGAGTGCAACGCGCTAACGACACCCTCACGGTGACATACGACATACGGTACTAGAGCTAGCTTTACAAGTAAAATCGAAGGCCGCTAAGATATCACCGTTCATTACTGAGTAATATGTACATGTACCCCTACGTATGTACAGGCGCCCGCTCGCCGCACGCGCCACAAGCCCCTGCACGCTCGGTCCCTCGCGCCTATGTATGTGTGTATCAGTTAATCACAACTATTTGACGACTTCACTTTTTACTGTAACTGAATCTTGTTTTTGTTTGGTCCCCGTCCCTTTGCTCCTCTTCACGCGGAAATTCTTCTCTTCTCTATTGGAAATGTAAGTAGTGAAAATTTTGCCCGTAGTCACACAGAAGGAATAACTATTCTACTAGCGATGATGAACCCTGATTACGTAAATAACAAAAAGAAGTCGATTTACGAAATACAAGAATTAGTCTGGCATTAAAGTTAAAAATGATAAGTATCGGTAGACTTAATCGTACTGTTGTTTAATATAGATTAAGTGCAGAGGCAGTGGTCGGTGCCCTATACCCATCCAAATTAGATCACCATAAAGGAACATTTTCATTATAAGCATTTAGTTTATTAAATAGAAATGTACTACTGTAATTGGAGAGTAAATGAAGAAATGAAATTAGCACCACGTTTTCAGATTGGAGTCGAATTCTTATGTTTATCTACAATACTTATTCAGTTAATCTAATAAACTGTATCTAAAACTATCGTAGCAACACGAAACAAAATAGTCGAACGAACTCTGAAAATATAAATTATCTCAATTTCGACGAGAACTTTAGTTTATTGCTATCCACTATCGTATAAATAATAGTGCTGCACCAATTACAGTAGAACATAGCCTGTTATCGGTTAAATACTCGACATTTCCCGTCACAAATTTAACTAAATATAATTTACTTGTAATCAAATTTTAAATTAAAGTAGTGCGCGAATGTAACGTAACCACTGTTCACACTTATTTTAGGGAACACTCTCACATTTTTATCTTATAACAAATGTTTTATTAAATAAATAATCTGTAATTTATATTGACACAGGTTAGTGTCTCAGAAAGGAGTACGCAATAGACGAGTCTATCCTATCTATTGCTATAACTGAAACTAGAACACCTCTCAGCTACATTAGGCAACGGTAATAAATGAGCAAGGATAATTTGCGGCAAAAATAGACTAAAAACAATCATATTCTTATTGATAAACTCTAAACGTTATAACTGAATGATATTATTGAAAATATGGAATAATTGCCAGCAATACAACAATATTAGAATAATAACTTTCGGAGTGGTAGAATTTATTAAAGGTTTTAACCACGAGTGTATTTCGGGGATGGAAAGTTAGTTTCGACTTACGTGGAATTGATTCAACTACGAGTACTACAACCAGTTCCTCTTAATCTTATAGAAAATAAACCGTAGGTTAGGTTAGTATTGCGACCAAACAACGCCAGAACAAACTGCTTGCGTTGTAGTAGTTGAACCAGTTCCACCAGATATATACATTTATACTTCCCAGCCGAATCTTGAATCGGAGGTCGTCAAAAACACCTCTCCCAATTAAGGACGCCCCTTAACTGCGAATTAGGCTAATTACTATTTGGACCAATTGAGAATTGGACATTTGGACATTTTGCGAATTTGACGCGCCCAAACGCTAATTTTCGTGACATATATTTAGGTATTTATTTAGTTATCCACATTCAAGTTTCGTTAAAATTTCTAAATATTCATCCGTAATACGAACCATGCAATGAAAAATCACGGAATAATAGTCCGTAATATTACATTCGGAAGACAATGGACTACTATCCCCATACTCTTGCAGAAGAAGAAATACTGTATACATATAAGGTAAAGCCTTAAATCATATACTTAAGATAAAATTAATAAACCATTATGTGAGAGTGTTTCCTATTTTGGAGAACATAACACTAGGTGTAGACAGATACGAACATGTATAACAAAATCTCCTGGTATAGATAACGGCACAATAACGAGTCACGCACTCAGCACAACACTAAAACTGGAAGTCGAACAGTTCCGAAAGTCCCTCATCGTGGTCGAGGCAGAAACCGTAGTCTGTAGCTGACATCGGTGGCTCCAGTGCCAGGAATGGTTCCAACTCCAAAGTTTCTGGAAAACATCATAACGTACTATCAGTTTAGTTAAGCTAGTTTAGTTAGTTTAATGGCTAAGTTACATAAATCTGAAAGAAAACTCATAGGAGCGAAATAGAGAGAACCGGGAGACCTCATACTTTGGACAGTTATGATTCTGCCAATTACAAGTCTGTGGGTTTTCATTTTTGATAATATTGACATTAACCGTCAAGCTTATTTTTTTCCAAAGAAAACAGTTACCAACAAGGAGTTCTAATTATTTGTCACATATTTTTAAACATGAAGAATGTTTGTATAGATTTGGGATGGAGCAATGTCATCTTATTTCGATGTTTCTCAAGTGAGCTAAATAGGACAATTTCTAACAAGACTAGGCAACACCACAAAAGCTTAAAACAACAGTCATCGCTATATCTGAGTCTTAATTAGAAAAAGTTAATAAATTATGTTATTATTGGTTGCTAAAAGAAAGACAAAGATCTTAAAAATACTATTCTTATTAACATACATTTTAACTGACTAAAATAATATATAACTTGTCATAATCATGAGCTTTTTTAGAGGATTGAAACCTTTCTTTTTAAACTTTAGGTGAGTACATCAGTTTGTACTTTCGATTCACTCGAAGCAATGCCCCCATCCGGTAACTATAGACTATTATATCTTAGTCACCTGCGACCCAAACTATGTACATATAAACATATTGGTTGGCTGTACAATACACCTAATGTTAATTTTGCAAAGATTAAAGCATGTTACTGTCACTTCTTGAACAACCATATCATTAACATGAAAATCTAAACCGTCTAAGTCCCTTTGATTTAAGATGGTTAAGATTTTCAACAGTTGTTCTCGAGCCTCTGCAATATTGTACATCATACTGAGACTTAATTTCAACCAAAACCGCAGACAGACATAGAGCAAGCATATTAGATTTTCAGAGTTAAGCAAAGATATAAGACACATCTTTTTACAATTTTATGGCAACATTTTTACTATTCGAATTATGATTGGAAAAAGTGTGGTCTTTATATATCCAGTTTAAAAGGATAAGATTTCAGGTTTAAACCAAATACTAAGATGATTGATTGATAATAAGTAATAATTTTGCAGATTCTATTAAGAAAATATGCTGAGCATTTTTATTGATTTTACATGTTCAAACAGTAAAATACTAAATTAAATTGGTCACCCTGACGAAAAAAAACTCAAAGCATTTACAAAAAAAAAACCATAACTATCCAGGCAATGACAATACTCATTCAAAGTTACATGGTCACAAAAATATTAAGTTTTAGACATTTTGATATAATCTCATATTCAAAAACTCTTTCAGTTGCATATGTATGTTAAGGTTAGATCACACGAAGGAATACAAATAAATAATTTATAAAAGTTTTGTGTTGTTTTAATTGTTTTATCAACCAATTTCAATAGTGTAATCGTATGAACTTCATACTGGCTTTAAATCACGTTCAAATCAAGTGTTACTACATCGAAAAATACATTTTATTTCGTATTTTTATGTTTTATTAAAGTAGTCTTCAGTCAGGTGGTATAAAATTAAACGAAATCGATGTGTGCATTTTTCGTGTAGTAAAAACAAGAGTGGTGCAAAACATAGTTAGATATGAGAGCAGTTGTTACGATTGCGATGCGTGGTATTAGTAGATGAGTTGGCTGTTAATGGCGACGCGAAGTGAGCTGAATCCCATGGTGCTACACGTGTGCACTGGAGCCGCACGGGATACAGCCCGCCGCGCGCCCCCCAAACCCTCCCCCCCCCCCCCCCGCCCTGGCACCGTGCGAGCTCTCCGAGGCGATACGTCCACATCAAAGCCATTCGCTCTTTGTAATTTACTTTCAAACTCTAGCTCCTCAGTTACTTAACATATCCCGACGAGTTTAAAGCGTTTCTGATCAGAGGAATGACACTTATAAGAATGACACGATGTGAACGTAACACGAATTACATATATTTACAAACAAACACGTTATATCGTCATTGAAAAAGTACAAGAACATTTGCTGTAATAAAGCTTTTATTTGAATGTTAATATGTATTATATATTATATATTAATAGATCACAATAGAATAAATAACACAACATTAAACCCATTATGGAAAACAGAAAGCATTATTTACATATGACCAATAAATTGAGCGACATGAAAACCGACACTGACACTGCTACAAATGAAAAGCAGTTGATGATGGGAGATGGATTGTTAACTAAAGATCATGAAAGATACTGATTTCATAACAGCATAACAGTGCACACACCTCAGAGACTAAAGTTAAAACTCTTTTCCGATGAATGAAAACCGTTTCAAGTTAGTAAAGCTGAAGTTGATGATGTGAGCACAGAGTAAATGACACAAAAGCATGCAAATGAGTGGAGTCCATTAGGTGTGCACTGAGATAGTTTACAATATAATAGAGTATAGAAATACTGTATGTTGTCAACATACATATTTCATTACAAAAGAGTGTCATCATTTGTCTAAATTTATATGTCAGTTTTTGACAATTTCAAAACCAAAAAGGAAAAAATTCTAAGTTTTAAAGACGATAAGCAAAAAATTCTCATTTAATACACGTCATAAAAATATTTTTTACTTTATGGCTCACCGTGTAAGCCATAAAAAAACATAATATTCATAATAACAGTTGCACTTTGGACTAAATACAACTCCTATCAGCAACAATATTTTCAATACTACTATTACTGGTTGTGATGACCCTAAACATTAAGTAAGATAATCTAGTTTCATTTGTCATATTACGAAATGCGTGGAATGTAACACGAGAGCATTTCAAGTGTATGTATATGTAAACCAACCGTATTAAATATCCCGCAGTCCCTTATGGCGTTAGGTGATGGCGTGGAGCGTAGCGGCCGGCGCAGCGGGCGCGGGAGCGGGAGCGGGAGCGGGCGGGGCGGTGGGGCGCGGCGCACAGCTAGAACTCTGACTGTGATGTGACAGTAACGATAACACAATTCACAGCCCGAGTACTAGATGCGAAGCGCGCTCATCTCCACCCTACTCCACCCTCATTCCCTTCACCCTCCGATGTGTACCCATGACTTGTGAGCTTATGTGCGACTTATAGCTACAGATACCTTAAATTGTAATATGCGTCTCGGTGAACACATTCACTTTGACAATTCACAAAACCACAGACATCAATATTGCAATTTATGGTAAATACATTACCTGAATAACAACATTTACATATCCAATTGTGAGTGAGACGGCTAGAAACAATATTTAAATATTGCACATGTTAACGTATAATGAGTTTATGAAAATTTAACAATAGCTGTGAAAAAATTACAAACATCGGTTTGTGTGAGAAAGAATGTTTATGATACGATAATGATTTTAATTAAAACTTAGCTAGGTGTAAAGCAAATTTGACCATAACCATTAAAACCATCTAATAGTAACACTAGAGCTAGAAAAGATAAGACATACGTCGACAAGAAATTACATTAGTCATCTTAAGGGAAAAGGTGAAGTTAGAGCGAGTACCTGACTCCTGGTCCTCGGTCTGAAGCTGGAATCGTCCGATGGGCGCGAAGTCGTCGCTGTCGGCGATGAGCGCATGCCGCAGGCGCCCGCGGGCTCCGCCGCCTGCGCAAAACGATACAACTGTGTTACCGTGGCTCAACTGGAGTGATACTACGATCTCATAGAAAACCGATGTTCGTTGCTTATCACCGAGTGAGTGAGATTACCGGGGTACAAAACCTCCCCTCCAACTATTTCGGAGGGAAGTGGGTACTAAGGACGGTAAAGCACTGTGGCACTTATTGCTATTTTGAAACCATATTCATTTGATGAAATGATTGGTTTTAGTCACAGCGATTTCACATGTAATTATGATTTTGTCATAGACAAAGATAAATGACATTAAAATCAATCAAATTTTTTTTATCGAAAATTACGTACTTTTTTTAGATTTAATCCCTTTCGGGAGTTTTGCGCTAGCGGAATAACATAAGTAACAGTGGTTTTATAAATCATTCAGAGATGAGATGACATGATATATACATCATATGATTTATCACGTGATTGTGATTCTATTCCATCCCCACTCTTGAATTGTAGGTGTTCATGAGTTGTGGTAGTGGCTTACTATTAGGGGACCCGCGTTTGCTCATTTGCTCATTTTACTATCAAGAAAACGTATACTATAATTATATTTACACTCAATACTATCATAATTATACTTGGACCAGGTTCAAATTTTACTATTTACAGTATGCTTATATTAAGAAGAGCTAAAAGATAAGCTAATTCATTACATATTGTCGGTATCAAATACGGATAAATCGATATGAAGCAGTGGGATTCAAATCGTGGCAAGGTCTTCGACTTTCGTCCCTATACTTCTTTTACCCAAGAATTTTTGCAAACAGTCGTCACATAACACTATTACATGTTTATTAATGATGGTGGTAACGATTACTATTTAGTATTTTTAACTTTTTTTATACCAAACGTAATAGTGAATAAGTTGTTCAAGTAACTATTATACAAAGTGTACAATAAAGAATAAATGAAATATTATAAATATTTTTGTTAACTCGGTTAACATAATTATTTTTTATAGCCAGAGAGGGAGTGAGCGGTACTGACTGTCGGGCGTGTGCAGGTCGTCGCGCGGTGTGATCTTGTGGTGCGGGGTGAGGGGCGCGGCGGGCGGGGCGGCCAGCGGCAACGTGGGGTCCGTGACGCACGGCGTGCACACCACCATCGACGAACACTCGCTCGGCTCGCGCTTGATGGGCGTGCTGAGGAGAAACGTACACTTACTGGAGCATCTTCGAGACCAAATTTAAACAGAAAAATGGGTATATCGAATTTCCTCGGAGCCAGCCTGCGCCGGAGGTAGGACGATATTTAAAATAAATTAGTTCGCAATATTATAGCCGTAAATGTAGTTACTTTTTATGTTACATCGGGTCGGGATCGTTTTATTAACAGACTTCAAAAAAAGGAGGAGGTTGTCAATTCGACTGTTTTTTTTTTTATGTTTCAGAATGTTTCAGTGTACTTCAGAACTTTTGACGAGTTGAACCGATTTTACAGATTTATTATCACAATTATATATATCCTTGTTGAAATCGATACCTGATTAGTGACATTTGGACAGTAAAATGTTGACAATATTTATAGATTCATATTCGAATACGACACTGCTGTAAAATAAACCGATCAAAGACTTTTTAAAACAAAATTTACTCACGTGAAATCGGCTGAGATAGAACTGGAGGGTTTGGAATTGAGTAAGGCAATCAACGGCGCCAGTAGCGCCTTATTGTCTTCTAGTAGAGGGTCCGCCGGCAACGTCCCTGACGCTGAAGGGAAAACATTAATATTCAACTAAACACCTCAAAACACACAAAAAAATTATAACAATGATTTGTGTCCATTTGCCCTATGACACTAAGATGGTACTTTTCAATACGAGGAATTCCCCAGATTAGTGAGTACACTGTTGCCAACATACTAAAGAAATAATATAATAATTTTTCTACCTCTAGAACGCGCACAGAGAACTGCTCTTAGAGTGATGATTTTTAAACCTTTTAGATATCCTACTATCCAAATTTTTCATGACTGCCAGCTAGTCACTGTGAGACACCTATTTGTGTTGCACACTATTTCCAGAAAGCACTCCTCTCTGCTGTGTAATTCGGGTTTTGCCGGAAGGCGTCGTGCTCATCATTCGATTTTCAACGCTATAAAACCATACACCCATACAGACTCAATTCAAGACACTCGCACACACACAAACACACACACTCACGCGCACACATCCCAACCTTTTTTGTGATTGTGAAATATTTTAATTTAAAATGCACTACAATTGTAACAACAAGTCTCTAAGATAGTATTTTGCTTGTTTTGTATATGTTTATGCGAGAGCTCTGGTTACCCATACCACAAGTTTAATCTTACCTTTGGTACCAGAGTTCAATGAAATGATGTGATGGTTATGATACCTAGAAACATGTTCACCTTGAATCTAAAATGTTATGGCAAATAAATTATTATTATTATTCATTTTAAAGATTAGCTTGCAAAAAGTTCACACGCGATGTAGACGACCGTAAATCTAGGCATTTGGACATCTATATTGGATGGCCATTTACACAGTATTTTCAACCAGTAAATAACTATCAACCTATCGCAGTCCACTGCTGGACAAAGGCCTCTCCCATTGTATGATGATGATAAAATAATTATACTACTCACACGACGCGGGTGACGAAGGACGTTCTTTTGGACAGAGGTAGACTTCTATTTCACCCGCCATGGATTTCAAATGAATCATGTAGCCCTTCTCATCGGGGTGCGGGACCTGGAATATTTTTAATATTTCATTTAATAAGCGTGACTTCGACCAAACTAGCGAGGCACGTAGAACCTCGTGCGGTATTCTCGTAATATCGTAATAGTTTTTATAGTTTTACGAAACTGGCAAAAATTTGAGTAGGACATGAAAGGAAACTACGTAAAATAAATTAATAACTATCGAGCCTAAATAATATCTCCTACGAAAAAAATTGAAGACCAGCTTTAAAAAACGGGGAACGAAACGGAGACAAAAAAGAGGGCAAACTGACCGAGAGGCGCGTCTCGGGCGGCGCCTTGATAGGGATGACGGTCTGGTTGCGGAAGTCGCGGATGGAGCGTAGGTCGGCGTACGTGATGTAGGCGCGCGCGCCGTGCTCCGCTGACAGCTCGGACAGCGCGCGCTCGGCCACGCTCACGGCGCGGCCCACGCGCGCGCCCCGCGCCGCCAGCGCGCGCACCTCGCGCCGCAGCCGCCGCGCGCGCGCCGCGCCACCCGCCACCGCGCCGCCCGCCGCCGCGCCGCACGCCACCGCGCCGCCCGCCTCCGCGCCCCCGGCCCCTCCGCATCCTGCATCTGAATTACCGTACTCGTGTCAAACGTTGTTCTCCACTAAACGTATAACTAAACGAAAGGAAACCGGTCTCGTTATTGCAGACTCCTGAACCTAGATCGAAACCGAGAAGTATACGTACACCCGTACGATCGCTCGAGAATTGGAATTCAGCATTAAATTAATAACATCTCATTCGATCGTAACGATCTACAAAAACAATTAGAAAATTCAATAAAATATTATAATTCCCACCTAATCCAAATATCATACGATCAACAATTTAATGATAAAAGATAACTCGCAGTCAGTTACTCCATTAACGTAATCTACTACTGTTCCTTACGTACCTTACGTAGTAACATTATAATGATTGTGTAAATATTGTATTTTTAAATAAAAATACTAAAAATCTATAAAATAAGTTCAAATGTTACATTTGTATTGTGTTATGTTATGCAAGTTACTGTTTATGTTTGATTATGCGTCAATAACTCTATCCAACGTCACGTAATAATTTAAGTTGGTTAAAAGAGAAGCCTTTAATCCGATCAAATAAACATTCAAGATTATTCAGCAGAGCAGTGTTTTATTATAAAACTCCCAAGATCATGGAATATGTGGATATAAACATTGTTCTAATAATTTTTTAATAAGTATACAATTCTGTGATTCCAAAACTTTAAAGTAGTTGAGGCTAACTTTGTCCTTTGATACTTTATCCTAAACTAGATGTTTCTGAGTTTCTCAATATTTAAGATTTAAACAACTTTTCAGATCCATTTTCTGATGATTTTATGGTTTTGTTTATTTTTTCCACTTATCTAGGAAGCAAAAAACCAGTAATGTTTTAAAATTTCAAAGAAAGAAAAAGCTAAAATAGCAAGAATAAAAATTATGTGGAGTGTTGCGTACTAATGACTGATTTAATTTCCTTAGTTCATTAGCTATTCAAAAAGTGCAGATGTTAATAACCACGCGGCTAATTTAAAACTGCTATAAAATATGCAAGTGATTGTCGAGACACGCATAGTAATGTTCCCTAAGCAGCAGGTAGTCCGTTTTGTTTGCAATGCTCTACCTAGTTTGACGAACACGTAGTTTTTTAGCGCTACCCTAAACTAGGACCATGGAAAAAAAAAAGAATTTTGGGTTAGTATCAGCTTGATTAAACCTTTTAAACCAACTTCAAAAAGGTTATCAATTCGTATATTTATATTTTTTTTATTAATGTTCGGGCATAACTCCGTCATACATAGAAGGATTTTTAAAATTATTTTTTTGTTCAAAAGGGGTTTATTCCGAAATGGTCCCATTTAAATTTCATATAGATCTGATGGTGAGTTTCGTAGACAGACAATGGAATTCTTCAAAAAATGACAGCAATATCTCAACCGCGATTGCTGCTAGGTTTTTAGTGCTTTTAGTTAGAATGGTTTGAAGACGGTTCAACTTTTTTAGAAGGATTTTCTTGTTAACTCAATTTAACAGACTTAGAATAGCTACCTTCAGCAGTGAAGTATACGCAAACACTGTCGTTTGTTTAGCGATAGAAACCATATGAGAGTGTAATATACATTCGTACTCAGGAGAGGCTTATTTTTTTGCTTTTCATCGAATGAGTAAGGTTCATCAACAGTCTTTTAATAGTCCACTGCTGGACTATTAAAGGCTGTTCTATTAAGGGCCTCTCTTTAGTAAGGTGGCTTATGCCTACTATATCACACTAGCCAGACGGATTGCTTTAGGGTTTGTGTCAAGTATTCCTTCTCTTGCAGTGTTCTTGTTCTGCGTAGTTTACTCCCTTAGTCGGCTGTTACGACACCCAAGCGATAAATAGGGGTGGTGACACTCCGTATCCTTAATCCGTCACCACGCTGACCAGTGACCAAAGGAGTGAGGTTACCGGACCCCAAAACCATTCCCTATTATGATTCTGGGTGCAGGACTCAAAGGGGGGCACACTGCACCTGTGACTCTCAAGTTGCAGGGGCGGTTGTTGCTTACCATTAGGTGACCCGTATGCTCGCTTGCCCTAGGGTGAACCTAGGTGAACTCCGTCGTTTCACGGACCTTTTTTTCAAGGTATAGAACCTTAGAAAAGTCAGTGAACCTGGGCGTCCGGGCCACAAATGTATTCATCTATGTCAAGACGGTGAATAAAGTCAAGATTTGTTTCGAAGAGATCCACCTATCTGTAAAGTTTATTTGTATCCAGGATAAGTCAATAACGGCGAAGCAGGCATTACGTTGAAGTTGTAATAGGCAATATCAATTAAATTGATAATTTTCCCCAATTCAATTCTTTTTTAATTGCATGGTCTGTATTTTTATTCTGACCTTCTTTCAGAATGAATGTTTGCTAACATTGAACTGGAATTACGGTGTAAATATTATACTTTCTAGGTTTGAGCTACCTTTACAGACTAGAGACTAGACTAGACAGAGGTAACTTACCATACTTCCATTGTATATTATTTTTTGATCTTTTTTCTAATATTCCTATACCCTCTAGAACATTTGTAATGTCGTATATACGACGTTTTTGGACCGATAAGTGTTCTGCCGCAATGTTCAAGTCTAATACCCCGTTAGGCGAAGACTTCAGCAACTCGACAAACTTTTTTGTAAGTAAACCTAATGATGTGTCAAACCTGAAACAATTAATACAATTACTAGATATAATAGCGGATGGCAACATCTATTGTACAAGCTTGTATCAAGATGACATGCTTTGCTAATAATTAAGGTTTTGCGTTTGGTTTTTTTTTAAGATATGTATTTAAAAATCAGGGTTAAATATATGTCAGTGAATAGGAAGAAAAATTATACAGAAGTGTTTGTATATATCTATCTGTGAGGCGGGCGGCTGGAAAAACCTTTTTCTATATATAATCATAGGTTTGCACTTTAAATTACGCCTTAAGGATATTTAACTGGCAAAGTGACCTCTTCAAACGACTTTTATATTTGTGTAATCATAGGTTTGCAATTTAAATTACGCCTTAAGGATATTTAACTGGCAAAGTGACCTCTTCAAACGACTTTTATATTTGTGTAAGTAACACAAATATAAAAGTCGTTTGGATAAGTGAAACCGTTTAGTAAAAGTATTAGATAACATAAAGATGTAATTCATATAATATATTATTATGCTGTTTTTTTGTTGTTTATTTGTAAATGATAATATTTGGATTGTGGGATCGAAATGTCTACATTATTACATGTGAAAAAATGATAATTAGCTCTACGTCTAATTTATACCTAATAAACATATAGATATGTATGTAATAATAATAATCATAATCATAATACATATCTATCATTGGCTAACTAAACATCACCACAAGTACTGCAAGTACGATAGACCTATAATTACAACAGATATTCTAATCACGTCTTCGAGGCTTTCTGATCAGTTCAGGCGAAAACATGTAGATTTAGCCTAAGAACTAATCAAAGAAGGGAATCAAACTACCTACGTCTACACTTAGTAACCAACTAAGGTAAAATTATTACTAATTCTGTACATTTAAATTTTATCTACAGTGAAATATCTATGTACTGTTAATGGTATTACAGAAGCCTCGAACCTAAAGGGAAAACTTTAGACTTCGCGGCCTTTCCTCTTTTAACTACAAACTTACGACTCTCTAAAATGGAAATTTACCTCTTACTGAGACATGTACCTGGAACGTTCGGTGTATTTTTTCATAGAACTGGACGGTCGACTGTAAGGTGTGAGAACTTTAACGCGTTTCTGTTTTGGCGTCTTAAAGTCAGCCTTCATGGGCACCACGTGCCCCTGCTGGCTTCCAGAACTGCTCTCACTCAAGTTCAGTCTTCTTTTCACCGCCTGGGGACAAGCAATCAATAATATTAATAGAGAACTTGGCCGCAAACTCCCGTGCACCTAGTTGACAATTATTGAATTGTACAAAAATATGAATGTAATCTGTGTCACAACCAACTTTTATTTTCATATTTATTGAGCAATAAAATATTAAGATGTGTTCAGCACTAAAAGAGACAAAATACTGGTATCAATGTGTGAGCTTAAACATTAAGTAAATAGAATAACGACTTTGTACTAACCGATTTCTGTTAATTTACATGTTATTTATAACACTACATCAAAACACGATAATTTGTTAAGGGTTGTGAGTAGGTTAGCCTTAAAATATCTATCTAGGCATGTATTCGTATTACGAAAATATTACTAGATGATGCATATCGTGTTACTTCGGACCGAGATAATGGAATGCGCCCCGTGCCGTACACGACATCGCTTTGCTTGAATAGATGTTCAATAGTGCTATATACACACACATCCAGACACTAATCGTCTTTGGTAATCTCACAAACCATGTTATAGAGCATACAGCTCTCAGTACCAGTTAAGATATTATTATTTATATTTATTGATCAAATTACATTTCACCACATACGACCACCATAGATATATTGTATTATAAACTTACCCCTAAAGCTTTCACTTTGCACTTATTTAACTAAAAAGAATTGAAAGTCAGCACATCATGACAACGTGGTATTTCAAAGAACTACACTTGGCAATTTCTACTTGAGATATAAAACTACTCACTCTTAGCACACGGCAAGCCATTTTTAATCTTCTCAATTAGGCTTCAAACAAGAGTTCAACCGACATTTTGTTATCATAGCACTACTATTCGTAACACTTTTAATATTAAGCTGTACGTTGACCCCATATTAATTGGTTAGTTAAAAGTAAAATTATTAATCGCAACAGTATTAAAAGATAAAAGACTACCAAACTAAACACATCACGCGCTTAGGAAGATGCAAGAGGCATTTTCAATAAGCTCGATCTACAAATTCAATTTCGACACCCAGCGGCCAAAGCCCCTAAAAGGAAGTGTGTGGGGAGGGTACGGGGTAACAACAATACATGACATAAATTAGAATCAACACAAAAGCCGCCGAGCTCTCGGAAGGGACCTCTGGCGAAAGAATGGCAATTTCTTATCTCGAAATTTTTATATTATTATTATTAGTGAACTATGCGCTATTGTTAATTTGCAAGATTTGTGGGTCTCGCGGTTCTTTGTGCATCACGAACAAGTAGGTAAACCGGAGCAGATGTGACACCGTTCTTGATATATCAGTAGAAAAATATCCCTTATGTCTTCGTGCACTGTTAGCAATGTTAAAATTAGCAGTTCAACCCTGAGTGTTCGAGGTACAATAATAATAGTTGCTATAACCCGTAGGGATCAAATAAAGAAGATTAACTCCAACTACGCATATAAAAAATGTATTGCCGTACAAGATAAATTAAATTATCGTATAAAAAGGGTAGATAGTACCCTAATGTGAATCTGAGGTTAACTTGAGACGTACAAGAATAACAAAGTAAAAGAATGGATGGAATATATGCGTGATGACAGGGCGTGTATACCTGGCAACGAGAGCTCCTAGTTTTATCACAATATTGGACCCACATGGCGTCGGGTTAATGCCACTCGAGATCGAGACATGACAAACTGCTAACACATGTGACTTCTGCCAACACTTACCTACGCCAGTTATGCTTACGCTAGTTACACACGCATCGATAAGTTTAAGGTTATAATTCCAGATGACATAAAAATACGCATTTGTCATTATACGAGCTAATGCATAAGCTACATCTTCAATGGATGCAAATGCATCAGACAGTAATTGCAAGATTTCTTAAAACAAGGAATACAATACGAATCGAATTGTCATATTTTGATTTGAATTCCATAGATGAAAACTTATGAACTTGTGAAGGTTTTAAATCTATTCTTATATATTTCTATTAAATTATATTAGATTCAGATATTGGTTTTTAATATCAAACAACCAGATTCAGGACTTGAATGAAATTGAAACTTGATTCAGAAAAACTTGAAAATTCATGCACGCCGTGAACATTCGTGGACATCATACCAAGCGTGATTAATACAATTATAAATGTAGAGAGGTAGAGTGGAGAGGTTCAGAGGCCCAAGAACGGGCCATTTGCCGCAGACGACTCAGGTGCCGGGGGTCGCAGAGCGACCTCCGTCCTCCATTTGAATTATGCTGATGATCAGCTTCACACAATCGAGTCAAAAGTCTATTATGTTATTACATGTTTTAAATCTTTCTCAACACAAATTTTTATTCTAAAAAATCATTAATAGGTATAAAAGGTTGTGGCAAAGACGAAACGGTTGTTATTCGTAGAGTACTCCTAGGAATGTTTAGATCCAGTTTAAAAGATCTCAAAGCTCCGTAGCTGTTACCTTTTCAATAAAAAGAAATAAATAACAAGGCTAAATATTCCTTTAACTTAACATTATCAAAGTGACGCTTGTAAACAACATTGCCCTATCGAATAGGTAAAATACTCCCTATATCGTGTGTAAACCAGCCCTTTAATAAATAAATGTATATAATTCCTTAGAACACTAAACATTTACGTCACTATTGTATTTTTTGCAAAAACTATTGATTGATTTCTATTCGGAGGTAGCATTTTTTTTTGCAAAATGTTTTTACTAATTTTATGTCCTGTCAGGCTTGCGGTAGGCACGGGCTTCAGCTGGTAAGTATATCTCGAATGTTTCGATTAATAGTATGAAGAGTATAGATTTTGTCTTTTATATTACCAACTTTCATTTCTAATCTTTGTGACCTTTATTACAAACGTTAGACACCGTTACAAACGCAATGACACTTTTATCGTAACTACCTACGTTATCGAAAAATGTAAGGCACGACACATTTTTATACTTTTCTCTCAATGAAATAAGTGAACCGCACGCATCGATTGTAAAAAAAATATCATCTCGTAACCATCCTTTATAAACATATAATTGTAATAGTTCCTTGCAATTGCTCATGGCGTGACCAATAACATGAAATTGTAACGAGCCATGAAGAACGACAAAAGACCACAATCGCATAGACTAGAAGGTTGTCGTTAGGGACGGAGTAAAATCAAAATCACATGTGGAAAACCATTTGATTTATAAATCATATCATCACGCCTGTGACTGATTTGCAAAACCATTGCTACGAAAAGCGAAAGGTCTAAATCTAAAAAAGAAAAGGTAATCTTTGATAAAAATAATTTTGACTGTATTTCAATGCCTTTCTATGCCTTATCTTGGTATATAACGAAATCACCATCACATTTGACATCGCTGTAACTAAAATCAATCATTTCATCAAATGAATATGATTTAAAAGTAGCGATAATTTCCATGTCTAGTTGTCGTCATCCTATGAACTCCATAACTTGTTGGGTATTGACGCGGCCCTCAAATCAACGCATTGATAACCCCACTCACTAACAATTTACGAAATTCATTTCAAATATAAAATTTACTGACTTTTTCCCTATTACTAAATACTATAAAGCTTTTTACATGTACGATAGTGTGGAAGATCGCCTTAATTAAATTTAATTAAAAGTATAACAAAAAAAATCTTTTAAAGATAATGTGATCGAAAAACGTTACCCAAAATGAATGTATAGGGCAACGTATCCCGTGCTTGTTCGTCGGTAGACGCCCCGCGTAAGGTCCCTTCGTCAGTTTTCACAGTACTTACCGTTAACCATTCAAAATGTGTTCCCTATGATCCGCCATTTTGATTTGTTATTGCGACGAATATAAATCGCTGAATTTATGGGAATTTGATTCCGAATTCCTCACATAACATGTGAATAATGATAAGCTTAAGAAGAAATATGTCTAACGTTATTTTATATGTATAAAAAGTTAAACTCAGTATGTAAGGATAAACTTCTTAGATATAAATCAACCTCAGTTGTATGCTTGCTATACATTAATGAGCATCTGCAGTTATATTAAAAAAAATAACTAGGAAATTAAGTAAAATTGGGAGAACTATAAATTAATAGGACCGTAACACCTAAGCTTCCAGATTACGATTTTGCACAGTTCAATGACCTTGCAGAGGTCACTGAACTTGTAATTTTATAATAATGCCCATTGAGTTTTATGCCCTTATTCATTAAATTGAACTAGACTCCAATGGATCTATTCAGTATTTCATAGCTTAACAATGACGTAAATCCTAATTTAGGTACTGCTATTTATATTAATGTTATATTCCTCAGTAGGTTTAAACATTATGTACTTTGCTAGTCACACCCATTGATCAATTGCCTAGATACTAATAGTCTTTAGCTTCGACAAATAAGAAGCCATATTTGTTTGTTATTACCGCCTGAAAAGGGAACTATGAATTTGAATTACTTATATGGTCAACTTTAGTCATTAATCACATAGTACTACTTTGTTAGACCAAGACCAACTTATAATTACAATATACAGATTGAATCTTATAATTTATTAGATACTTCTGATAAAAATGCTGCTCGTACTTTCATTTAGCCTAAACATCCAACCATATCAAAAGACCAGGTCAAGAAAATGCAACTTTTTAGTGTAATGTGTTTGTAATGATTATTTAATGTAAACATTATATGCAGAAAACAAAATGTCTCAATGATGTCTTGTTAATGAAAGTTTATACATATAAATACTTGTATTACATTAAAGAGAATATAATACATTTCATATTGTTAAGTAAATGATGTAATATTTACTTAAATAAAGGAAGAAAACTAACAGCTAAAAATATCTTGAGTCACAGCCACTCAGTGATGTAATAGTTAAACTCAGTCCAATGTTCATTTAAATAAAAATGTCAATTATATGACAAATATCAGACGATATTTAAATGTTTTATCTACAAAATCAATGGTGATGGTTTTGAATTCAATTCAAACAAAAGCTACATAATCTGGAAAGGTATACGAGTTAGGGCCATGTTAATATCTTGATGGTGAAAATATCCATTGAGTAATACTGTCAATTATATATGCAAGGCCTTTAATAACTAACTAGTGGAGTTTAAACCTATATCTACAGTAATAACTTTGCCACACAAGCAAAAACATTGTACCACATCTAACTGTTTTAATCAACCCTACCATTAACCTATTCTATATACCATTTTATGTGCAAATCAGTTTTTTTCATTAATGAATATCAGTGCATGACATGACAGATGACAATGTTGACTTCAACTCGTCAATACCTTGCTGCACAAGTGTGGTAATGGACCCAGTAGCAGCAGCGTTACTGCTAGAGTAATGCTATGTATATTATTCATAATAACTTTATCTTATAACTATTTTGGGATTAAGATTTACACTCAATTACCTGAATGATTGTCATTTTTACCAGAACAGTTTCATCCATCTAGAAGATGTTTAACAATAATAAGGAAACATCAACTTACTTCAGACGTCTTTGGCGGTGCAGTAGGCGCCTCGCGCCTGATTTGATGCTGTGGTGTAGCGCCATAACCGTGGTCTAGCAAGTGATAGCTTATGGGCTGGCTAGGGCTGTCGTCGAGTAGTGTAGTATGCGATGGAGACGCCAAAGCGCGTACAACCACCTCGGCCTCTCCCTCCGCCGGCCCTCGCTTCACCCCTCTCGGCATCGCTGTTAATTAACACAAATGACATATTACAAATCAATGAACATTATAATTAAATGTAGTAACAAATTGTAATGATCACAATTAAATTAGTAAAGAGGTTAGGGGGGCCGCGCGCGCGGAAATCACGAGTGAGAAGCCTCCGAAGCGGAGTGGGTCGATAGTAATTTTTCAGAATGTTCGAAGTACCGAAGCTATGGGGCTATACTTCCAGCTGACCAGATTTGCTTACGTCACTTTTTCAACGACATTTTCCCCAAAATATCGACAACCTAGCGGTGATACCTAGACCTAACCGCTTTTAAACCTAAGTGTACACATTCCAAGATTACACACAAAATACCCACTGTAAAATAATTATACTTACAAAAGGTGTAAGCGAACGATATCCGAATTTATAACCATAAACCGACATTAATGTTTTCGACGCAAACGCTACATTATCGAGCACTCAAAATAAAATGTCCGCCGCTTTGTTGGTCCCGAGTGAACTCGTGGACATCGAGACGCTCGATAATTTTTTGATACTACACACAGTTTATCCAATACACATGGTATTTATTCACTGATTACTTCACTCATAACAGAAAATATTAAAAAGGTCCTAGTCCACATTTTAAAATAAGTTAGAGGCAAAAATGCAGAGCATTGGAACGGCGACAGGAAGCTTTTCAGAACATCTGGCTTGCAAGCGACGTAGCAGTGGCGCGAACTACGTGCGCAGGCGCGAAGCGACCGAGCAAGCAAGCAACCCCTAGCGGACGCCGCTTTGCGATCCAAATTCCTCCCCTCGTCGCAAGAAGCCATAAAAAAATATAACGAATTTTTGTATTTCCATTGTTTGACCGGTTTTGAGCGTTGCGTCTTCAAATCCGTTTGTTAACGTGTTTAATCATTCACTGATGATACAGTGAGTTACGATATGAGTACTCATTTAATTATTGCCCACCCTCATAGTAATTATAATTTATATTCTTATACACTTCCGAGAAGTGAAAGAAAGAAATAGCTTCATTATGCCATATTGGAAATGCCAGCAACGAATTAAACATTTTTAATCAGATTTGTAATATTCGAATTGTTAGTAAAATTTGTGCAGATAAGATACATAAACACATTGATTTATTTGCGCCGTTTATTAATAAATATTAATTGAACTATGACTATTACAGTATTCATTTTTAGAGTAGAAATATTTCATATTCTTTTAATAACTGTTTTATGATTAAGGACAATCATAAGAAAATGTACCTATTAAAAATTTAAGTAACATGAAAGGTGAAGACAGAAAATTAATAAAATTTTAGTAGAAACATTACTTTTATCTTCTACTCGTAGGTTCCTAACAAATGTTTCCATGGTCAGCTCTCCAAACTATATAAAATAGCTGAATGACAATTATTTAAAACTTAGATATGGACATTCCGCCAGTTTTCACAAAAAAAAACTTATATCGTCAATTGCAGTTCGCAGAATCAAACAACTTTATAACTAAAATTCATAAGACATACAATTACATAGTATAATATAAAACTAATAATTTCTTGAACAATTTTGTATCCCGTATTTGTACTTTTGTAAACACAATTTAAACTGACGAGGAACAATCTTATAAAATAGTACCAATCGAGATTCCTCAAACAAGAACATGGCACTTGTGATGAATAGTTATTTTTTTATATGTTATGTATTTTCAAACATAATTTGTATATAATTGTACTTGGATACTGATTTCAAATAAAAAAAGATAAAAATAGAACTTGCATCTAGGATACGGAAATTTGTGAAACCGCGAATACAGCGGAAATGACTGTACACATATAGAAAAATATATCCATCATAGACAAGACTCGTTCAGAAACGTGGGTAAGTGGGTAAATTTTTAATATCAATATTTAAAATTAAATGGATCAAAATAAATACCAATCCCGCGATACTATTTATAAACATAAACTGTTTTTGAAAACGGTATTTTGACGTAATTTGCCAATTCCTAGTGATCGAAGAAATTGGCAGACTTTGGTTGGATTCGCGTGTTCAACAGAGGTAGGTATGGATATTTATTATAGTTAAACCGCCGTAAGCTTGGCCCTCCTGATGGTTTGGGGGACGCGGGGCGGGGGTGCACTCAACCAATTAGCTAGTGCCTCGCTGTCCGCCGGCAGTGACTGACGTGAAAGCATGGCCGTACGTGTTATTTTTCTTAAGACTGCTACACACGGTATTATTTTGCAACATGGATAATCTGCTGACTCTGCGTCACAAAAAGATTTAAAAACTTGAAGTTCGGCTTACAGATGTTCTGCTGTTAAAGTTCCAATAAAGAATATTTATTATTTTACTTAGTTTTTAAATTGTATCTGAATATAATTTACATGATGAAGATAAGGTACCTAATTTTAGTAAAATTATTTTACAGTATTAAATTTTACAATTAATCATAAAAACTTACAATACACTGACATTATAATACATGGAAATAAATTCGATTTTTATTACATCGTGTGTAGATTAAATCTCAAACAAATAAATCTGAAGATATCGAGTTAGTACATCGTGTCATGTATAGCCGAGCGCATCACCCGCCCCGCGTCCCGCAAACCATCAGGAGGGCCAAGCTTACTGCGGTTTAACTATAGATAGAGGTATAGCCTACTTTGCGTTGTGCATTCTCACACACCTTGTTACAACAATTCCGAATTGCGACGTATTTCTCTCAGTTTGCACTGTGTCGTATAGACTGTTCAGTGTGTTAGTGAAAAAATAAATTTTTTGGTCAATGGAACTCAATTCATACAAACGAACCCAGTCAATACTGCTCGCATCATCGCGGAGATTGGATACATTCAGGGCTTTAAAATTACGCTGCAGGATGATTTTAAGTTTCATTTTTGGTGTGCGGATTTTATTAGATAGAAAAAGGAGATTGTCCTATGAAAAAGACTCCGCGAAAAATTAACCGTGACAGGCTGCACGTTCTGGTGAAGAGACAGCAATGCTGTCAATGAGTGAAGGAGTACACTTTGGAAAGTGATGTGTAGCACTTAGAGGAAGACTGGAGAGATTGTGAAATTCTAATGTGTCACGAAAGGAGGAGGACCGGAGTTTTTAAGAGGACAAGAGTTAAAGTCTCCCATGAGGATGGTATGACTATGCGAAGGAGTAAAAGACTGTAAGAGATGGTCTAAAGAAGAGAAACAGTCAATGCGAGAATAAGGACAGTAATAATTACCGAGAAGAATTTTGTTATGCTGGAGTTCAACTGCCACGAAAAGATGCCCGCCAGCATTCGGAGGTGGTGGTTGTGTAGACATACTTAAAACTAAAGATGTGATATGGACTCTAAGATAGATAGCTACACCCCCACCACCACCACAGGTACGGTCATTCCGAATAAGCTGAAAGTCAGATAAGGAGTAGGATGCTGAGGGGAGACATGGCCTTAACCATCTCTCAGAGACACAGATGGCGTGGATGTTCGTACAGTCAAAGGAATCGATATTTCTATTAATATAATCTATTAACTAATAAGAATTCCTCAGAGTCCGTGTATGACAATTCGAACATAATGAGTCCGTCTCAGTTGATGTAAATAATATATTGCAATTGTTATCCAAAATAATGCAGATATATCTCTGTATATATAGATTTATACTACTCTGTCAAGAAAGTACCGGGAAAAGATCAATAATAGACAAAATGTTTGTTCATCAACAGCCTTTAATAGTCCACTGCTGGACATAGTCCTCTCCTCAGAAAGCAGGTTTTGGCCTAATAGCACGCTGGCCAGACGGGTTGGTATAGGGTTTGTTTCAAGTTTTCCTTTCCGCAGTGCGTTGTTTTGCGCCGTTAGTCGGCTCTTACGACACCCATGGGATGAATTGGGGTAGTGACATTCCGTATTCTTAATCCGTCACTACCGTCCGTCAAATGTTTGTTATTCATCCAAATTTATTTATCACCTTCAAAGTATGCTCCTTCAGAAACGATACACTGACGCCAACGAATAATCCAATAATCTAAACATTTTTTAAACGCTGTATCCGGCATTGAGTTCAGTTCTCGCCGCGAATTCTCCTTTATGTCTTCTACCGATTGAAAACGGGTGGCACGAAGTGGTAATTTGAGTTTAGGAAAAAGAAAGAAGTCGGCTGGAGCCATATCTGGTGAAAATGGTGGTTGCTCTATGGTATTTGTTGAGTGTTTCGTCAAAAATGCGTGCACAATGATGGCCTTGTGCGAAGGCGCATTATCGTGGCGCAAAATCCAAGAATTTTGTTTCCATAAATCTAATCTTCCATAATTTTCGTCGAATTTGCTCTCTTCGATGCCGCATAACGCTCAAATAATATTCTTTATTTAACTTTTGACTTTCCGGTAAAAATCCGAGTGCACAGCACTGCGATAGTCAAAGAAAACAGTCAACATGACTTTGACTTTTGATCGACTTTGGCGTGGCTTTTTCGGTTTCGGTTCAGTTGGAAGGCGAAGCTTGTTGACTAGTTTGCATGTCAAACTCGTAAACCCACGTCTCGTCACCAGTAGCAATGCGTTTCATGAATGTTGGGTCGGAATTGACTCCGCAAGAAGCCAACGCCTGAGTGCCACCACTGCGATGACCAGACCGTGGACACGGCTCTCCACACGCTGACAGAGTGCCCGGCGTGGGTTGAGCAGAGGCGAGACCTCGTGGCGGCCATCGGAGTGGGACTTCTCTCGCTATCGTGCGGAGCGAGAGTGCGTGGAACTCTGCCGTCTCCTTATATACCTGGTTCCCCAGCTATTAGTTCCCGAGACGGCGTGCGGTTTTAGTCGGTTCGAGTCCGACATGCCACCGATAGGTCCGAGGGGATTTCCGCAAGGAAAAAAAAAGGGTCGGAATTGACTCGTTCTAGCATGTCCTCAGCGACTCTCGTGCGATTGAGTTTTTGGAGAAAATTCAGGTTTTTTGGGACTAACCGAGCGGTAACATGTTTCATACCCAAATGATTAGTTAAAATGGT